AATGAAATCTTTGAGCTCACTTCAACACAGAAGTCAGCTGGTGGTATTTACTGAACCACATGTAGCTGCAGCTCACAGCAAGACAAAAGATAAACCCACAGAATACTTTAATATGGAACAAAAATAAAAGTTTGTTTCACTGAATTTTCATAACTTTGATTCGATGAGCTGAACCAGAAAAATAAAACATTGCTCAACAGTCTGAACCAGGCAGATCCAAGAGTTTCAAAATGGTTCTCCAAACACAAATAAGAACAGAAAAGCTTTGAATGTGGACGTATTCTTCATTTTGAGAGCCTCCATTTTTGGCTAGAAAACAGAGAACTTTATACTTTACGTGTTTATATTTATTATATTTGAACACTTGTTGGAAGCAATGCTTGAAGGTAAACTAACATGTTGCAACTCAACCTTAATCAGAGATTATTTGATCTATTTGTCTGATATTGTAGATTCTACATTAATAACATGACAAGAAATAACAGTGAACATTTCAGGCTTTTATCTTTTATAGTTCCTCAGATATTGTTGTTGAAACAGCCTCAAATGTCACCGACACATTTAAAAACAATAAAAAGTAAAAAGTGTTAAAAGCGGGTCAATGAGCTTTTTTCTTTTCTTTTCTTTTCTTTTTTTTTTTTTTTAAATATATCAACCTAAAATATCACAGATAGCATTTTAAATATTTATACTTTCTGATATAGTTTGAGTTAAACCAGAGCTGGTCGAGCAGATGATTTCAGATGGAATAAATAAAAACAAGTAAAAAAAAAAAATCAAACACAAGAAAACACAGGAGTGGAAAAAAAACAAAAACTCAAGGTTTATTTGTAAAGCACTTCTTCACAAAATGCCCTGTAAACAAATTAGAGGGACTAAATAACAATAAACAAACAAAGTTGACTAAAAAATAAATAAATAAACGTTCTACAGTCCTATTTTCCGGGTTAGTTTCCCTCCCCCGTCGGTCCTGTGCGACGGCTGGAGTGTTAGAAAAAAAAAAGGCTTCTAGCTCTACGAAGTCACACTGTACACCCTCCCGTATCCACGGCAACGTGTGCTTTTGGTCCTTTTTTTTTCGTTTTTGTTTTTATTCGCCAGAGAGGGAGGACGACGTTAATAGTAATAATACAGCACTAAAAACTTCTTCTGGTTGTCGCTGACTGTGTGAAGTAAAAAAAAAAAACAACAACAACAAAACAAAAACAAACAAAAACAACACTAGCAGTTCATTCTGTGATCTTTGCTCCTTCTGCACTTCCTTCCCAAATGAAAAATTTAAAAAAAGACCCTCCCTCGTCCCCTCTGACCTCCCACCCGCCGACACCGACCGACTCCGACGGTGACCATCCTAACAAACGCTACTAAACAGGAGCTTTCCTTTCCGTCCGTCTACGTTTTTAACAGCAGACCGGCTGAAGTATTCCACTCTCTGGGCGTGACGTAGCTTCGTCTGGCAGCGCTGAACGCTGGCGTATCGATCCCCCCGAAGCTCAGCGACCCGAAAAATAATCAACAGCAGAAAGAAAAAAAAAAAAAAAAGTTTTGACCCACTTCTCTTCAGTTACAGTTTCCCAGCATGCACCTCTGCTTTGGTGCTTTAAAGAGCCACTATTGTTTTGTTTTTTTTTTTACGTTTAAGTTAGTGTTCTGTAGATGCTTTCCACACCAAAGGGAAAACTCTGCTCCTATCCGCCCTCATTTAAAGTCTTTTTTTATTCCATCTACGTCACCATGCGACACGTTAGCATTAGCAGTAACGGGGCAAACGCTAGCTTCAGCGATCACGACAGAGAAAACGAAGCGAGGAGCTACAGTATGATGAAAGTAATGAGCTTTTTGTCTAACATTAGAGCACATGATATGCTCCAGGAGATGAATTTGCATAATGTGGGCTCTTTAAAGTGGAAACATACACAGATGGCATCAGTAGGCTGCACACTCAGATAAACATGTCATATGAAATGGGCTTAATGTAACCACCTGCATGAGGGTAAAAACGCAGCAGCATCCATCTGATTGCTTTAAAAAATCTCTAAAGGTTTGACTCGTCACATCAGCGAAGACGTGGAACGACGTCGGCAGCGACACGTTGAGCTGCTGTAGTCAGAAGTCGCTTCTCTCAGCTCCTGGTTGCTCAGGATTTAGTGTCCATCGACGTGAACAGCTTCATGGATTCATTAATGCCAACGTAAGGCACGACTTTCTAAACACGACAAGGGTTCTGATGGGAGAGAGGGAGCGGGTCACTTCACCTGAACGTCCACACAAAACATCAGACAAACATATAAAAACAACAGGAAACTACAAATGGTGCCGACTAAAAAATAGTCAAAAAAAACAAACCCCGAAATGTCAGTAACAAAAAGAAGGAGAGGAAACAGGAGCAGACGGCGGCGGCGGCGCCTCCGTCAGGTCCTCATCGTCACCCTGCAGACGGGTGTGTGTCGGATCATGTGTGTGTGTGTGTGTGTGTGTGTGTGTGTGTGTGAGGGTGAGTCGGTGAAACTGTTCATCAGAGGTTCAGGCTTCGTCCGCGGCGATGTCAGAGCCCAGAGGTCGCTGTTGCTGCTGTCTGATTGGCCGCTGGCTGGGGTGGGGGGGCGGAGCCTTCTACAACTTCTACTGCTGAGGAACCACCTCCATCATCTTCTGGCACAAGGCTGTGGTCGAAACTGCAACGAGTGGAAACCAGAGGTCAGCGGAGTGGCCGTGGAGCAGACATGTGCAGAAGAGTTTGAGAAAATTAATCAACGTTAGAAGAACATCCCAGCTTCCTTATTTCTGATTTCTAAGGAGCTACATGAGGTCACAGCTGCTCTCATGTCACATATTTCTTCTT